TCGCGCTGGCGAGCATACTGCCCCGCGCTGAGAACATAAAGAGCGGTGCTACACCCTTTTTTCACCTGTGCCTTTTAGGTGAAAGACAGCCACCGACCGACAAGAACATGAGCGACCCGGTAAACATGGGCAAAAGCCTCGATTCTGTGTATCAATCCGTGAATCCGTGAAAACTTCATCAACGCGTGCGCACATGCCCATTACTAAACTCTCATCTTGCGAGGCGCACAGCGGACATAAGTGAATGCGGCTTTTGCTGACTTCTGTCCATCGCAGACACATCATCGCTGAACTCAGAGATGATTAACTCCTGGGCAGATCTATTGGTGACGGTCACCAAAGGGCGTTGAATTTTAGGTGCAGTTATCCTGCCTCGTACGCTATTTATTTTTTATCGATTTTTTCTGAACAGTGCGCCACACGTGTCAGTCAACATCTGCACCACAGCGCGTGTACACAAAGACAAATCCTAGTCCATTCCGAACGCTGAGAGTACAGAGATTATGTCCTTGTTGCAGGGCGACCAATGCGGCTAACGTAGCTAATTCAGCCACATCGCTGAAGGAGTGAGGGCCAATTTGCCCAATGTCGGTTCCGCATCCAGCGCGATCAATACCACCTGTTTTCTGAACACTGCAATCGACCCGCTTAGAAATGTGCTTGAGATCTGCTGGTTGCTGGAACGGTAGTTGATCTGTTCACCGAGCTTGATACTTAGTTTGCAAACGCTTCGTCCCCAGTCGAGGAGACATCGTTGGTACTCGGTTGAATGGGCTCGAGTTCGCTTACAGTCGCCTTCGCTACAAATCGCTTTTGCCGGCTTGACCCAAGAATGTTCGATTTTCCTTATCGTAGGTTAATTATGCATGCGGATCATGGGAAAGAATCAAGCGGACAGCGAACTACTTTTCTAGTCAGGCTGACTCCATCACTTATAATATTGTTGACTTATTCATTTCTTTATGTCTACAGCTATTTGCACGTGTCTCGCCACACTATCACAACGTTTTGCGTCCAACAACCGACCCAAACCAGCTTCCTAGTTTTGAGAAGTACACGCCATTCCAGCAGACCCAAAACTTCTGTTATTTTAGTCATGGCACAAGCCAGTAGAGCGCCTTAAGAACATTGGTTGATGACCACTCTCTAGAGGGAGAAAGAGTGATTTTCATTCCTTATCTCGTGCTGCATGGACTGCTGCTATTCCTATTGACGGTAGATGCTAGCTATTTCCTCAGAACGTCCAAGGCCATCCACTTGAAGCTTATCACTTTTCGTACAAGGTACTATTTTTGTAAACAACGCGTGCACGCCAGGGGGCCTTCATCATTTTATCGTTCTGCTTTTGCGGCTCACAATGTCTTGCCTCTTTACACTTCCATCGCACTTGTATTTCACTGGCTTTATTTCTTATTTCCTGCGATATTTTGAATGTAATGACCTGATGACGCCGAATTCGGTATTCCTCCCAAGGATTGAGAAGCGAATCCAATAATAATACAGGCCAAAAAACAGAAAATTATGTTTATGGAGCTGAAGTTGAATAATTATTAGGAAGACTTCGACTAAGTGAGCCACAAGCAAGCACCAGATACCCCACTAAGCTGGGATAGCCTATACAACGGATATCAAAGTTTCCAAACCGCTTTCAGTGGTTGGTTTATTCAAAGCCTGCAAAAATATTCGCGACAGCCCTGCTTGATACGTCCTCCAAGTGCTACCTCTATGAATCTTGGGTTGATAACATGCACGGTGCGCAAACGGGCTGTCTAAGATAGAGCCTTTTTGGCGGCGGCAATTCCTTACCAGGAATAGGCCGTCAAGTGGGACGAAAGTTCGAGAGAAAGATGATCGTGTTTGAGGCCAAGTTTTCGTACTTGACACAGAGAGGAGAAATTTACATTATCGGGTAGCATTGGGCCGCAATTCAACCCATACTGAAACTCAAAGTAAGTCACCGGTTCATTGCAACATGGCCTTGCGAAACAAACAGGGTGTTTGAGGTTTTCGTACTTGACACAGAGAGGAGAAATTTACATTATCGGGTAGCATTGGGCCGCAATTCAACCCATACTGAAACTCAACTCAAATCACCGGTTCATTGCAACATGGCCTTGCGAAACAAACAGGAGAATTCACGGATTCACGGATTGATACACAGGATCGAGGCTTTTGCCCAAGTCTCCCGGGTCGGTTTTGTTCTTGTCGGTCAGTGGCTGTCGTTCACCTGAAAGGCACAAGTGAAAAAAGGGTGTAGCACTGCTCTTTATGTTCTCAGCGCGGGGCAGTATGCTCGCCAGCGCGAGGATTCGCATAAATAAATGTCTAATAGTGCTTTAAATTGGGTTCGAGAAGGAGCGTGTACAACCGTCGGAGGAAGGTCATTCCACGCAGCTACTAACCGAAAT